GTTTGTGGAAAATCGGTCTGTGACGAAATTTTCGGAAATTCCTGGGGTGACAGGGTCGTTGCTCGATCGTTTCCAGAGGCTGCCCGTGGAATCGGGTGAAATCTACCGAGACAACGACGGATCGTCCTGGAAATTCAACACCTCGGACGCTTTAATCGGTATTTCTTCCTTATCTGCCGGCTATCTCTGCTCTCCCGTCCGATTTACCTCGATTTAAATCGTTACGATTTACCATTTTAAGATTTGTCGCGGGTGAAGATAGAACGAAACGACGACGAAACGGCGTCCAACGATTGCAAGGTGGAAGAATCGAACCCGCTGGAGGGCGGAATCTTGGAAGAGTACAGCATGGAGGAGAAAAAGGAGATCTTTGCGAGGGAGGATCATCTCGAGCCGCCGTCGTCGGTGGTCGATAACGCGGCGGAATGTAAAACGAAGAATCGCATCGTGGTGTCGAACGCTAATATTTCCAACAACAGCGTGACGGTGTCGATCGTCTATCCTGAAAACGACAAGGAGAGCGACCGTCGGTTTTCGACGGTGGAGGTAGAGTCGAATAGGGCAGGTATGTAATCGGGAGTGATCGGGACACGCTTGCCGTCTTACTATCCTGTTGGAACGATTTTTCTAGATAACGAGGAATACCGTTTGTCGGAATTTTCCAAGGAAGAGAAGGGGGTTAAGGCAAACAGCTCGGGGAGCACGCGGAACTATGTTTTCCTCGCGGATTATCATAATCGATTGAAGCACAGATTGCTTCTGCAGCAGCTCGAAGTACGTTGATCGAGTACGGGAGGGTAAGGGAGCCGAGTGAAAAACCAGAGAAATTTCGGTTGCAGACGGAAGAGAAACGGTTGAAAGTGAAAATTGCCGAGATGGCGGTCCAAGAGGTGGAGCTGAGAATAAAAGGTTTAAGCGAGGACATGCGACGCACCGAAGAGCTGCATCAGCTGCGTTTGGCACGGGCCGCTGCTGGAAATGTAAACGTTGGATAAGAAAGACAACGGTCGCGTTCACCTGTGCTTCAAATTATTTTTATTAATCACCATCGTTATATCGTGTGTTACGATGTCGTCGTCATTTAGAAAAAACGCACGGGACCATACAAAATAACAATGCGCTTAGATTTTCGTGGTAACCGAGCAACGTATATGTATATTTCGAGGTCGCGATACTCTTCTCACTTGGTCTCTGATAGATCTCGTTGATAGATCGGACAGGGCGACCTGTGATTCGTTAAGAAATTACGGAAACGGTAACGTTATCGCGTGTTAACGAGACAACTTCATTTTTCCTTCTTCTCGAAAGCTGTAGCTGCCTGCTTGCCTCTCGTTTAGCTTTTCCTTCTCACCGCAGTGGTAATCTCTGCCACCTGGTAACTAGCGATTTTCCTCGTATTTAGTGATTGTTAAGAATTATCACAGAAAGTTCGTAAAACAAGTTCGATCTTGACGTATGCTGGTGTGCGTGCGTGCGTGCGTGCGTGCGTGCGTGCGTGCGTGCGTGCGCGCCTCTTTCATTCGCGTCTTTTCCTCTTTTTCTCTCTAGATTTCTCGAATTTTCGACGTTTCTCGCGTTCTCGTCGAGAAGGTGAGAGGAGTAGTATTTACGCGTTTTAGACGGAAAAGTTTGTCACGTTGCTGTAGGTAGAATAACAGTGGAATAGCGTTTAGTATATAACTAGCGGTACTAGTAGCGATACAAGTAGCGATACGAGTATAACGGCACGCATTAGAATAGCTCCTTCAACGTTAGCAGCAGTTTGAAAAATATTAAGTTACCCTAGAGTGGAATAGTTCACTTTTTAATTGTACGCGCGTAAAGAAGTTTCATTTTCTTTGAAATTGTCGGTGGCGTCGAACGAGTAAGAGGAGAAAGAGAGAGATGGACTAGAAGAAGCCGATTGATAGGCGAAAAATGTGTGTTGATCGTTCGGTGCGACTGGGAAACGACTTTGCGTCGATCTCCAAACCAAAGTCAGGGCATTGTAAAACTTATAAAAGCCGTTTTGATTGTCGGGATAATGTTGCCCACCGAATCGAACTTTCTCTCTCTCTCTCTCTCTCTCTCTCTCCTAATTATTCTCTCTTCTTCGTCTTTTTTCTTCTTCCTTGCGAAGGAAACGCGGCCGTTACATCCCTCTTTCTCTCGTTCTCGAGCCCTTTTCCCTTGTCGCGTACCACTGGCAAGTCGAAGAGAGAAGATGGTAGCTCGACGAAGCTTCACTACGAGAGAATTTTACACGGAAAGCAGCTAGAAATCTGATTAAGCGAAAAATCTCGATCTCTTACCGTTAGAATTTTTCCTTGAAAATGTAAAAATTGCTTAAGTCAACGTTCACGATACGCTACTATACGACACGACGCCGGACGTTTAGAAAAGTCCAGGCAGATCGACCGATTCTTAACCTCGAAACTTCTTCCAAAATTCAACGATCGCAGATAAAGCGAGGAGTAACAGCTGAGAGTAACGCGGAGAAAGTGACGTTGAAAAGGTTAAGGATCGTCGATAAGAACAAGAACGGTTTCACGGCGTCCGGTCGAAGCGAGCAACCACGACGATCGAGGATCGAGGATCGAGGATCGAGGATCGACGACGTTTTCACGACGTATATCACCACGCGTTATATCGAATAAACTTGGCTTCTTCTTAAAAGCTTCTGCTTGTTTCACATGTATTTCGAATGATCGTCGTGTTCTCGCGATCGACCTGCACGCCTCCTCCACCTGTACGCGTATACTTGTTAAAATTCGTCCGCTTAAAAAAATCTCTCAACAACAGCGCTAACAAGTTGCCGAATTATTGCTACTGTTCAAGGGTGACACGTGGTGAAGTTGACGCTCGAATTTCCGTTCTCTCGTCTCGGTGGTGGCGGTTGTGCAGAGAACGTTTCAGTCCGACGAGCTGCCGAACGTAGCACGCATACCGGTACGACACCTTTGGTCGAATCCACGTTCTACTTCCTTTTATTATTCTCGTTAAGAATGTAACCCGTTATTTGGCTGCACCGCGCAACGAAATGGCACGGCGCAGAAACACCTGTGATTTGCCAGGAGGAACAAGTGTAACGCTAATCCTATCTAAGATCGTTTAAATTTTCGCTTTCTCGCTACAGATCGCAAAGTTTCGATCAAAAGTTTATCTTCTAACGAGAGCAACTTTGCTGTACGAACGACAAAGGAGACGAGATATTCATATACATATTTCACAACTTGTCGGACTAGGAGGGAAAGGTATCGCTCTGAAATATGTGTGTCGCGGATGCAACAAGTGACTCGAAAGATCTTGGCTATACGAAAAAATTGGCAAAGGTTGATTTCGGTCGGAACGAAAGAAGCAAGCTTTATTCGCCGCGTCGATCAGCGTTTCGTAAACTTGACGGAAAGAAGGAAAATATCTCACGGCATCCCCTATGGAAACACTCGTTTCCCTGGTGCAACTCTTTATTCTCTGCTTGCTCGTTCGTTCGTTCCTCCGCCGCTTTATACCGCTCCGGTGAAATTTACATAAGACCATCGACACGAAAACGGCATTACACTCGTCTCAGCTAGCGCAGAAACGCTTTTTCTCCGATTTGGGTCGTACGCGCGCCAAGTGGACCGATTTTTAACCTCTCTCTCTCTCAACCGTGGAAAAGCTGAATTTTATTAATAATAAGCCGGAAGTGCAACGGGTCGTGAATCTTGCCACAAGTTCAATACGAGAGAGACGCTGACGAAGGGAAAACGGTGAGAAGTTTGCCAATATCGGGAGATTTTTGCGGAGGCGGAGGGAGGTCGCGCAGTTTCCCCGCTAAATATCTCTTGGACTGGAAGGAACGGTGGATAAGTTGGACACGGGAAGCGATCGATGCAGGAGCGTGCCGAGGGACACGACCGTGATTAATACACTTAGGGTCTGTTTCCTAATCTCGAGGGCACGTGTGGTGGCACGATCGTTTAATCGTCATTTGCCTCGGGCTATACGTACGGCGCGGCGTATAACGAACGGTTGTTCGCGTTGCCGTCGTAAGTCAGAGGAACAGTTCCGATTCGAAGAGAAAGTTTTTCGCCTGATTGGTTTTTTGCGCGGGGAACTGTGCAGCCGCGATCGATGGTGAATTGGGGAAAAGGAAATAAACGTGATTAAATTAGTGAAATTAACCAAAGGGAGAGCCGCGATACAAATCTGATCGTTACGAGTTGGAGCTCGTAAAAAACCGAGGGGAGGAGGGGCTGACATTTACAAAGAAAATGGTGTACGAGCCGGAATTCGAAGGGGACGTAAACTATGGAAAAATGTGCGAGACTATCTTCCGCCCGGTGACACCGGAGAAATTCCTCGGGAGATGCAAGCGCACAAGATTAATCGGTCTTTCCGCTACACACACACGTACACCGTTGAAAAAAACCGGCGACGAAATTCTCCGCTAATTATGCTTTTCAACGTAAACCAGAAAAGGGTGGTGATAATATTATCGAGATACTGCGTAATCGAGGGGAGAAAAGTCTCGTCCAGTGTCGTTCGTCTCTTAGTCTCTTGACGTCGGGAAGGCGAGGGAAAGGACATTGAAATGGAGTAGGTGGCGAGCTTGGACGAGGGTTCCAGCATGTTGCACGTGCCATACTCGCGATCCTTTTTAACCGTGTCCCGGTGCTTTCAATTAACGAACCTCCACTCGAGAGTGCCGAGAATTCTTTGTTCGATTCGATAATTGTTCCGAGTTTTAATTGACGTAGCTATTTTTCTTTTTTTCAAACTACGCGATAAGGGACGCTTACAAAATAGGTACACGAACGTAGGTGCAGAGTACATATAGAACGAAAAGGGAGTCGAGAAGCACCGTTTCCATTTTGCACTTGCTCGCTGCACTGTCACCGATGTCATTTACGACAATAAGATTTTGAAAAATTTTGCAAGAGCGGAAAGGACGAGTTACCAGAAGGAGACGTTTCAGAGAAGATGAATCCAGGTGAAAAATAAACTCTCGCTCCATTTTATCCCGTCGATTCGTTCGGGCCATATATTTCCCTCCTTTGAATTTTTCGCGGAGCTTGGTCCGCTAACCGGACACCTGGTTAAAGTGTAAACTCCGGACTGATTTTTTGAAGAGGCACGCGCGGATTTCGGGAGATCCTGGAAATTCAGAAGAAAGGGGACATAAAAATAGGAAGAATCGTCGACCACCACTCGTCCGTGTTGTCGTTCGTACATAAAGAAGCGAGAGTTGGGTCGATTACGAAGATCTATAAAATTGACGACGAACCCACTACTCGATATTTTTCTACGTTTCTATCGACGCTATCGCAGAATTTTCTCAACGATTCGTGCAAGGAGAAAGAAACGGTCGCCTTTCTCTGCGGGGAGACCGAGAGAGAGAAAGAGAGAGAAAAATAGTCGTGGAGGATCGTTGATTCGTATGTGATGTAGAGGTGTATACCTACGTATGCGTGCACGCCGGGCTGCGTGGTTTACGGACAGAACCAGCCACCTTCCGATCGCCTCGTTTATTTATCCGTTCGATTTCTCTCTCTCTCTATCCGTTTCGACGACGACCGGAGCCAGGCGACGAGACGTCCGGTCTCGACGGGACTTGCCGTTACTCGCCGCCCAACGACAACGCCTGCACGATCCTCGGGTCCGCTTTGCTACCCTCCCGGAACTCCTCCAGGGTTAGCTTATCGTCGTGGTTTTTGTCCATTTGGTCGAAGATCTTGTCCACCCTCTTCTGCGACGTGTTCTCGTCTTCCGCCTGGGGCTGTTGTCCCTGAAATACCACGCGACCAATCTATTAGCCCTGAAATACAAGTTAGAAATTCAAACGGATCGCAATCCCTCGACGTAGGTTGATCTTTTCGAGTGCCGTGGCAAAAGAATCAGTTGAAGAATCGATAGGTTTCCTACTCGGGTCACGAGGGACTCGCGTTGCCCGACGATGACAATTATCGATTGCAGCGAACGGAGAACGACGAGTTACATACCGGGGGACCAAAATTGAGCAACGAGTCCTGTTCGAGAAGGTCAGTGCCTCCTGAGGAGGCATATCGTGTCGGTGAATTTTACAGATCGAAAGACCCCTCCTTCTTATCGTCGGCCTTCAACATTATCAAAGACTAGGACTTTTTCAAATTATTTTCTTCGTCGATTCGAAAAGTTCCGAAATGGTACTGTAAACATTTTATTTTCAAATGTCTAGGACTAAGTCCTAGAGGCTACCCATGCAAGACTTTATCCAGGAACGCGTTAAAGATCATTCTGCTCTCCCTTTTCCCTTCTTTTACTTTTACTTTGTTGGAAGAAAAGAATTTACTTTGGATTTACTTTGTTGGAAGAGAAGATTTTATCAATGCTGCGACTTGAAGTTTTCAGGAATTTTTCGTTATGGGAACGTAGACACGTATGTATGTATGTATCTCTCGAATCTCGCGTTTACGTTGGCTTGAGAAAAAGAACCCTGCACCGTTTACCTTCGATGGAAATTTCAGTTCCTTTGTCGTCGGTGTCCTGGTTTTAACGCGGCTTCGTTGAAAAATTAACGGGGCGCTGCACGCAGCTGCAACCACTAGGGTACACACTAGGGAACTGTGTGCAATTTAAAGATATCGCGAAAGTAAGGGGACTGTGTGGTAATTATCGAAGAACGATCAAGGATATCGAGGTTGAGTCGCAAGAACGATCAAGAAAATCGGAAACGGCGAATTGCAGAGCACGGCTCGTCAGCAGTTGTTACATTTGGCGCGCGTTTGTCACGACTACACCGCGGGATAATTACCCTCGGGTCGATCGGCGGAATCTTTGTCGCGGCGACGTTATTGATAACGCCGAGTTTCCCCGGTGATCGATCGGGCAAGATTTTCTTCTTCCAGCGATCGCTCCTGTAGAAAGCTTCTCCTCTATCTCTGCGAAAGAAAGACATGCAGGCGTCGCGAAAATAGAGAGCGAACTTACCACCATCTCGTACATCGCGTCCACGATATTGTACATCTCCTCCCTCGTGATATAACCATCGTTATCCACGTCGTACAGTCGAAACGCCCCTGAAAATTAGCGTATTTGGTAATTGGATTGGAACGTTCACAGTTTTGGATTGGACTCGTTTCACAGTTTTGGGCGCCCTTATGAACTCCTCGAATTCTATCGTGCCGTCCTGAAAGCAGTTCTCCTCGGTAAAAAGAGAGGCTGTGTGTATTTAGCGAACGGCGGGCGCGACTTTAACGAGAGAATGAAAACTGTCGAGTAGGGAGGGAAGATTGGGCTCGGAGACTGGGCAGGGGAAAACGTTTACGTAAATTCCGATATCGTCTAGACTCTAGACCTTTGTTGGTATTTACGAGGCGATATAGAATATTCAGGTGTTTATTTGGCAAGCAGACTTACGCTGTTTTCGTCGAACACCCTGAAAACGAGGGTAGCGAATTTCGACGGATCGCCTTGAGGAAAGAACTGCTTGTAGATCTTTATGAAACCCTGAAATCACGCAACAGGCATTCTTATCTTCAAACTTGCTTCGTGCGTATCGATTTTCGTTTAATTAACGTGCCAGCCGAAACGAGGTCATACCTGTTCCGTCAGCAAGCCATCGGGGCAGTCTTTCAGGAATCCTTTGTGCCTAAACAAACAATCGGCAAACTTATCGAAGCCCTAACGCTCGTTTGCCGTGGAAATTTTGATACATTACATAGGGAGCGATAAAAGGTCGGAGGAAAAATTACGTTAGAACACGATTCGAAGATTGTCCAACGGAAATGAGGAATTTTCGTTCGAATTTACGAATGTTTGGGGGAATCCCGTTATCCCTTGGACAATCTTCACCAATCTTCACGGTTTCGTCGATATCGATAGGAACGAACTCGTTTGATCCGAGATAGCTTTGTCGTCTCCACCGACTCACCATTGTCGAATCTCCTTCTCGGTAACTGAAACAGAAACGAGCGAAAACGGTTTTAATCGAGTGCAGAAAGGAAGAAGAAAGGTTGGCGGAAAGTGGTGAGCAAACAGAAGGGGGAAGGTAAGCGAAGCTAACAAGAGAAGAATAATATGATAGGAGCTCGAGCTACCTCGAAACTTCAAATTTCAAACAATTTCACATTTCTATCGAGGAACGTTAAGGGAAGGAAAAAGTTAAGATCGATGGTTAAGGAGAAGGAAGAAAGAGGGAAGATAGGTGTCCGGTTGGTTTGTAGGCCGCCGAAAAAATAACCGCGTTCCAGATTCGCGGTGGAAGATGATCGATGACGCGGAAAAAGATGAAATTTTCTCAGGCTCGGTCGGATGAAAATCGCGAAAGCGTCACGTGTGTGCCGTAAGCAGGAGAAAACTGACTGTGCGCGAGGCGTTCTAATTTATCGATTATTCTCCTCGGTGTTTCCCAGCTATTCGCAAAAGAAGAAAATAGAAAGGAATTTTTGTTGGTTGGACAAAGAGTTGGAGGTTGAAGGGAAGCCTGTGTCCGGGGCGAGCCTCGCGTACAAAAGTTGTCGTCCGTTTCTTCGATAACTATTTAAGTTTTCTTTTGACAGATCGCGCATACATAATGTTCGTGGCGCGTCGGTTCGGTCGTGCTTCACTTTTATAACCTTCGATAAATTTGCGCATGGTTTTCGAGCTAGCACGCAGTTACCGGGACAAGGCCGTTTCGGTTCCCTCTCTTGCTTTGCTTTTCTTTCCCTGCAACCTCGTCTCGAATACGCCTCGAATACGCCTCGAATACGTCTCTTCCGTTAAGTATCGTCGCGTCGCGTCGCAGGGGAAAACGTTATCGTTCGACGAGACCGTGCTCTCCAGAGTACTTGGCCATAGAAGTACGGGCGAATCTAGCCAACGATTCGCGATAAGGATGCTTCCCCTCGTAAAATAAGCTTATTTCGCGCTTCAACGACGCTCCGATATTCTTACGAGGACATCGACCACCAGCCAATGCAAATGTTTACTTAAACTTTTCGTTTGTTTGGAACACGGGCGATCGCGCTTCACCTGTTGAGAGTACTTTGCGCGAGGGGAGGCTAGCAGCAGGTGAGGATTTAGCGTTAGGAGAGCGAAGAGTGGCTATAAGCCGCCGCCACCGAATTGTCAATGAAACGCTCCCGAGACACGTGAAGGATCCAGTTAAAGGTCGTTGAACCTTTTAATAGCGCTATTCCAAGCTTCGTAACAGATAATGGAACGGCGAGAGGAGAAAGTGGATCTAAGGTCTAACAAGGTGTATCGAAGGATCGAAAGGAATAATCGGGGCTAAGCGAGGTTAGGTTGGACCAGGTGTGGAAAGTGGCAGGACATTTGCCAAGGAACAGATTATCCGTGTGGAAAAGGCGAAACGATCATTTCAGCCACGTAGCCGGGGTACTTTATTGCTCCGTTTATACGTATATCGTACCTATGCATACACGGCACGTCGCGTCTATGCAGCCGAACGAATAATTTATATCTCCACGTATACGGGACGAGCGGCGACGAGGGTTACGTCGTCCATCCACTCGAACCACCTGCAAACATTCGGACTCGTCTAACTCGCAATCCTCGATCCCCGCTAATCAACGATTCAATCGGTTGATGGATTCTACTCCGACCTACGTACTCTGCGAGATTAGGCCGCCGGCCGTCCACTGATTTTCACAAAAATCACTCCGTACCTTCTATTTAGCGATCTTGTTGCTCTGTTTACTACTATACCACCAGGACCCGATACACATCGTGTATCTGACGGGGAACCTTTCTGGTCTCGTAATTCGACGTGCACCTCCGACTTTAGCCTCGGTCGCAAGCGTTGTACACATCTACCACCTTCTTTCCACACTTGGCAGTCGCGATCTTGTTCGCGGTCGTTGACGCAAAAGCTGTATTTTCCGGTTATTCTCCGGCAGGCGAAGGCAGAAGAAGATCGGTGGCAAGGGTCCGCTTAGAATAACACAGTCCTCCTTCGCTTTTCGAGTGGCGTCCGATAATTTGCAGAAAATAACGCAGCACCTTTGGACTCGCCGCGGTAACGAACGAACCCTACGAGAATCAACCTACTTTTCCTTTCGATCTCGCTAAAGTACCAGGTGATCGAGGGTAATCGAACGGGAAGAGTAAATAGCCACGTGGCATTCGGTGGGATTCGGGGGCAAATGAAAATTTCGGCCGGGTTTCTAAACGGGCTGCAGAGCTTCTCCTCGCGTCGTCGCCATTCAAATGGGAAAACTTTTCCTCTGACAATCTAAACGGAAAGAGCACCGTTCTTTCTCTGTGATTGGATCCAGGCGGAGATAGGATGCGACGGAAAGGTGAAAAGTAAGGAGAGGGGAAGGGAAGGAATGTTTCAACCCCCCTCGAATCGAACAAGTGCGTTATTTGCGGGATCGAGGCAACCAACCACCGTTCGAGGTACATAGTAAGTAGGTAGATATGCGCGAGTAAATTTCATCGGGGGTAATTTAAGCCTGATTACACGCGGAAATTGGAAAATGCAATTGAAACGGTTGGACACTTGCTGTAACACTGTCAGATCCTGTCCACTTTTATCGTTATTCCCTGGAACAACGATACTCGAACGTTGGAGCAAATCGAATTATCGACACCGAGTGTGCACGCCGATATATTCGAAAACGGGCCAACAACAGTTTCGTTACGATCGCTGCCTTCTTCTTTACCGTTATTAATTCTCGCTGAACAATTAGAGCCTAGCGGAGGATCGATCGGTATCATTTGTAATTCCAACGAGATACATACAACGGCTCTCCCGCTTTATTCTTATGAAAATATTGATCCCGTTCGCGATTCGCGCGACACCGTTAAATTTCCACGACGACAGCTGCCCGATTCGGAATGACCTTACACGTCGCTATTTCGATCTTTCGGAACGGTCGCGTTTCGCAACAGTTTGGAAAGTTGATTATCCGAAGCAACAACGGGGACGAAATTATTCGGACGAAACGACGTTACAGTTCGGTACGCCGCGGTACGAAATTTCAAACGAGCTTCTTCGATTGCGAATTCGACGCGAAACGTTTCGCTGGTAATTTCCATCGAGCAGCGTTCTGATTGGCCGCGTGGTTGGTCGACGGGAAGGTTACGTTCGGTGCGTCGAACCAGCAACGTTTCTTCCGCTCCGTTCCTTTTCACGCGAGAGACAAATGAAAAATGCGCTCCCCTCTCCTCTCTATGCGAGAACGATCGGAAGGATTTTTCGGTAGGCCACGGAAACCGGAGAGTTGGCATTCCCGAGCGTAATTGCGTTACACGGCACAGAAGGCAGGGTGAAGCTTGGCTCCGCGCGTTCTCGATGGATGCGTTCGAGCTTTTGTTCGACCGCGCTTACCGACCACTCGCTTATGCCACTCGCGTTCCTCCGCGAACGATAAATCACACACGATTCCCACGACCCAACCTTCCTCTACACCGTGAACTTGAAAGGGAAAATCGGCGACTTGGAAAGAGGATCATTTCCGCATAGGTACATACGTATATACGTGCGAGGGGAAATTAAAGCGAGCCCGGCGCGCTCGCTCGAATCGGATGATCGTTGTCGCTCCGATAGCCGGAGAGATAGAGATGGGGAAAATGCCGAAAAGCCAATCGCTCGAGTCAATTAAAGCCCATTAACCGGATCGAGCGAGGATTAATCGAACGAGCGCATCCCATCGTAATTTCGCCTGACGGATATTTCATTCCCTCCGGAGTAATTGCCATCTTCCTCCGAATCGATATACCTACCAGTATGTACGAACGGAGGGAAGTCTGGGCGAAAGAATCGCCGGATTGCAAATTCGAATTATTTTCACAATTTCCTTGGGGCGCGTGGTCGCGTGGTCGCGACGTTTAACACTTTCCGTTCACGCCGCGCGGGTCGTATGCGCCCCACGTTGTCGAGACTAACAGTTTTGCTTTCCACCCTATGTGCCTTCCAATATTTACAAGATTGCAAAAATCATTGCTATCGTGAAAAAGGTAACGTTCAAGATACGCGATAGAGCAAAGGAAAAATGTTTGTTTCAACAAATTATCGCCGTAGTTGCACAGTTTAAGTCAGCGAAAGGAAAAGGCCGAAATATGAAATGGCCTGAACGGAAAGTCCAGAGTGGGGCGTATGCGAGCCACGCGGCACGGAACGTGTTAATAGGAGCAACAGCGAAACAAGGAAACGAGATTCCGCGGCAGCGTGAACCCCCTGGCGGGCGAACCCCTTTGAATTTCGAGATTCCGGCTGCTCCAGCCACAGGAAACGGAGTGGAAATGTTTTTAAAGCGCAGACCACAACCGAAATAGACCGAAAATTGGTCGTTCGTTAAAACATACTAAAAGCACAGACTCGCAACGATTAGGTTCGCACTTGTAACGGAAGATGTGAAAGGTGGAAGGCGTAGGTCGGTAGGCGTAATCGGGATCGATCGTTGCAACGTGGCGACGTCTACCCGATGAAACGACCTGTTTCGACAAACCGAGGAAGGAAGACTGGAATCGAACCGAACGTGGGACAATCGTCGCGTTTATCTCTCGGCCCTCGTTTTCACCGAAAGGGAAAAACCGAGCAGTGAAATTTTCGCGCGGACGAGCGGCGGTGAAAGAAAGCAGGAACGGGTGGTAGCGGTTGTTCGACGTGACAATACCGATAGCGATAATTTTGTTACGGAAACACGATAACGCCCTGCTGATCACGCGATCAGTCCACCCGGAGGTCCTCGACCCACGTGAACGAGGTTAACTGTTCCGATCGTTTGGCCGTAACGCGGATTTCGTTGGTGCGAAACGAAACGAAACGAAACGTCGATGCATACTTGCAATACCCGCGGAAGGAAGGGAAACGACTTCTCGGCGGAACAATTTTCTGGACCAGCGACATCGATTTTTAGAGCGGCGCCGTTAAAGGGGGGACTACGTCTTTTGGAAAGTTTCTCGGCTGGCGTTACGGTTCGCGAGGGGGGGGAGTAGTTCTTCTTTGCATACCTATTCTAACGTCGTTGATTGGAAGCTCGTTGCGGTCCGAATCGGTTTTACTACCGTCCTCCGTAACGAGGACGCTCCGCGCAAACCTACTTTCACGTCAAGACATTTCCCGGATTTAAACGGTGCCAAATGTATAAAATGGAATACGGAGAAAAATACGTTTGCCATAATGTTCCCAGCGTTCGTTTGAACGGGAAAATCGGATCGGCAGGTGCACACGTGGGTCGCGGCGAGACAAGTGCGAGAACGGATGGCTGTCGATTTTCCAGTGTTTCGAAAGGGTAGAGAAATAGGTGGAGGACGGTCCGTTGAAAGAGACGATCGCGGGAAAGTAAGCGACGTGGTCGACTGTGCGAATTGAAAAGGTAGCGGCGATACTCACAATACGTGTCACTGGTGAGTCGATCGATGGTATCCTGCTTCAGCTTGCTATTCTTCTTTCCCATGTTTCCCGAGAGAAAGTCCTTTGTCTCGGCTACGATCCGCTTTTTCCACTTTATCGCGACGCTTTACAGTCTCACCGTTCGCTTGGCATCCTCTGCGTTTCTCGCGCGGTCCCGCTCGAAATGCTTCCTTGACTTCTTCTCAAGGTTACGCCTTCGAACCACCCGCCGGCAACTTTTCTCACTCCGCAACTTTGTCCTCTCCCGGGTAATTGATTAAATTTGTCCGGAACTGGCTTTGGAATTGGTAGAAGAACCCGCGCGTCACTCCATCCCCGATAGGCGTCTGGAAAAGTTCCTTTCGTACGTTTCAATTCGATTCGCTTCTCCTCCGCCACCTCGAACGCTCCTCCTTTCAAATTTGCCTCTCCGACAGAATAAACTCTCCCGGCTAAACTTTGTCGGGAATGAAAGCACGAGCTACGGAATTTCTCCAGGCGAGTAGCGGGAACGGTAGGAGAGGGTCTCCTTCTCGTTTCACAATTAACGGGCAAATTTGAAATTGAAATTTCTGTCGATTCGATCGAGAAGTATAGGAACGAGGAGAGAGCTCGAGTTGCCCGCTATTACGTTCATCTCTCTGGGAATAATTGCTTGGTTATTCGTTGCATTATTCAGGAACGGTTCCCCAAAGGATAGCAGGATGTTGGCGGGTGATTTATCGAAAGATGGTTCGCATCCTCTAGCCTAGCACGCTAGAACGAGGGTCCGACGGTACCCTTCTTAAATTCCGTTGCACTTGTTCACATAGGGGAGGGAATTGGAGACGGTTCGCGATCCTTGGACAAAAGTCGGACCGAGATCGTCGCGTGCAATGCGGACGTTCCGCTATCGAACGAACACGGAGGATGGAGAAGGAGCAAGCGTCGCGAGAAAACGAACGTACGTACGATATTCACCTATTTTCAGCGGGAATCGATGCGTATCGAGCCTCTATACTGGCCGCATGTGGCCGATCTCGGTCGAAGGTATCGCTTACTTATCGCGTGCGGAGACTCAATTCTGCACCATCGGAGACTGCAGTGGAAGGGAGAGGAACGAGAAGATGCTACCTCGTGTCGACGCGATCGGGGGAAGCTTCTGGCCGATGATGTTGGGAAACGGAGGAGGCTTCGAGGTGGCGGATTTCATTCATGAATCCTCACCGCTGACGAGAACAGATCGCTGGGAAAACGCGGACCAGTGACGTCATAGCGTCGCGGCGCCTGGCGTCAGACTGGCTCGCCGACGGTATTACGTGCCAGTGCGTTGCTACTGATTCGCGCAGGC